ATATATTTTTAAACGTGCGATATCGTTACCTTAGTAGAGAAAGGCCCATTTTAATTTTTTTTATTTCTTTACAGAGTAGTATAAAAATACGAGCTCCTAATTTTTCGAATTTTTTCTAAACACAGATTTTAAATAAACACTGAGATTAATTTATTGAAAGTTTTCAAGTTATATTACATAGATCATTAATGAGTAATGTGCCGACTTTTGTACAGATCTGAATTTCGAAAGAAAATTAGTTAGGGCCTTTCTACATACATATGTAGGTATTTACATATGTACCTAACAAAATTTCGAAAAAATTTCTATATTCTTTCAAACTCTGTTTTCCGTGAACTCCATCTATATTAAATGATATTATTAGGTCCATAGACATTACAGTATCCAATTTTTTTGTCAGCTTTCCCTTTAATAGTGACTTTATTGCTTTTGCCTGTTGAATGCAATAAAGAATTCAAAATATTGAATCAATAATCAAATTAATTGCTTACATAAACTGCTTTGTTTGGCCCAGATAGTTCTATGTTAATTTTATCTACATCCTCCAAAGATTTTAAAGGGAAGACTTGAATGACGTCATCTGTGATGGATTCTTGGTGCAAAAGTTGATTTAATAAAACATTGTGAGTTGTCAATTCTCCCATAATCATCATGTTTTGGTTTTCAACAATGCCTTAACAATTAAAATTATAAATTCGACATAATTATATATGTATACCACTTTTTTACTCTTTAGTTCTTGGATTTCAGTATGCAGCTGTCTAGTATTGTCCCAACTTCCACGTGTAGTTTTTTCTGAAAAAAAAAATATATTAAGATTTAATATAAGTCTGTACTTGAATTTAACGTACTTTTTACAGGTCTATTATGCGCTGGTAATAAAAACTTTGTAACCGGTAAATAAAGTTTCTGTCAATTTGTAAACCCTTTTCGCATTCTGTGTACTCTTGTAACCGGTAATTTTTGTTACCATCTCATAAGCTGGTAACAAAGTATTGCCCCGTGAAATATGCAATGCCAGAGTTTGCACAATTCTTCATAGCTGAATTGCTGAATATTTTAACTGCATTACCAACGTACCTAGAATCGCGGCGACAAGAACTGGTAACATTTTTTGGTAATAAAATTTTCCGGTTACAAAATCATCGGTAACGTGCAGAATAGACCTGTTAATGTGATATTTTCACCAGTAATCTCATTTAGCCGCACCACTTTTCCTCCTCGTTTATCGATTTTACTTTCTATTTAGTAAATCTACTAAAAGTAGTTTTTGTTTTCATAACGAAGGTACATGGATTTATATACTACTTGATTTATGTATATTTAATTTGTAGATACATAGGCTCGGAAGTGCCATAGTCAGCAATGGTTCAGTAAAAAACGCTTTTCAGATTCTTAAATTTTTCCCCCATCATTGTGATTGTTGCATCTTTTTCGAACTACACAATCTTTTCTTTGAGGCAACATAAGCTATCTGGACTCCTTATGCTCAAATAAAATTAAAAATCAAAACTAATAATTTCTACATTAATTTCTTTTAGGTATATTCTGTTTGACGATTAATTTCGGTTTTTATGCTTTTACATTTCTTCTTGTTTAACGTTGTAACCGCCTAAGCGATTTTGGCCTAGTTCAACAAAGCACGCCAGTAGTTTCTCTTCGGAGGCAAGTAACGCCCATTGGAAATGCCAAGTGAAGCCAAGTAATGCTCCACTCCAGCGGGTACCGAGTTGAATACTTTCAGGGCTGGACTGTCTGTGTCCATTCGGAAGACGTGGTCAAGCCAGCGGATCCGCTGTATTTTTACATTTCATTCAAATGTCTCAAGCGCGCAGAGCAGTGCAAAACAAGCTAGGAAACAGACAGAAAATGGAAAAAATCTAAACCAGATTGTTTTTAGTCATCTCAGTCGAATGATCAGCTCTTTTTAACCGACTTCACAAAAAGGAAAAGGTTATCAATTCGTAAATTTTTTTTTATGTACCACTGATCATATTCCTAAAAGAAAAACTGAATTTAGGAGTATATACAAACATAAAAGCTCAAAACGAGTAATTGATGCGGTGTTTTCAAGATATTTTAACGCACTTGAGTCACAAGTATATACAAGTGTCATATTCTATCAATCATACCGATAATTTCATGCATATATGTAATACTTCTATATTGGCAGTAAGCTAACTTCTCAATGTGTAAGCATTCCGAAATCAAAGCGAGACAGTCTAGTACCGTTTTTGTCAATGTATTGTGTACTTGAGTGCCGTTTTTGTATATGTGTTGTGTACATGTTTATTTATAAACATATGTGTTCCTTTTCTTTCGTGCGTGTTTATTGATATATCTGTACTGTGTTGTTTTCGGACGGTACTAGCTCTTACTGCCAATATAGGAGTATTACATATATGATTTCATGTATTAAAATAATTAAAAATGAAAATGAATAAAAAAATTAAATCAACAAAATGAATAAAATTAAGTGAAATTAATGTTTAATCAAAGCAACACCACAAAAAATATAGAAAAAGGTTTTTTCTTAACAGCGGTCGTCCCTCGGCAGGCAATGGCAAACCTCCGAGTGTATCTCTGCCATGAAAAACAGCTTCTCATAAAAATGCAATCGCCGTTCGGAGTCGGCGTAGAACTGTAGGTCCCTACGCCTTGTGTGACAACATCAAAGCGCACGCCACTAATCGGAGGAGAAGCTCGGCCAAACACTAACATATGTGTAAGCGCCAATCTATTATTATTTTTTGTTATTAATGTTTAATTTCTAGCCTAACCTACATGTATATGTATATAACTTAATTGCCTAATAATAGGTTTACATATAAAAAGATTATCCTCATTTTCGAGCTGAACTCCCTAATCTGTAATTAGAAAAAGAGATTAGCCATATAAAATTATAATTCAAATATCTCAGGTCTTTTTGGGTCCAACCTAGTTTTATCGATTATACTTGCGAATGTCAAATTTAAAAGTAACCAAAGATTTACGCTAGCTAGGAAAAGAGGTTTGTAAAGGTATTTTTAATAAAATACAAAGTTAAAATATATTTAAATAGCATAATATGTGTAGCAGAAAAAAGTGACCACAGGGGTACAGAGAAGAAGCTTAACTTTTCCTCGAGTTGTGAGAATAACAGCCCCAACCAATTTGAGAGCTAACGAGCTTTGATTGAGATTATATTTATATGTAAACGTACTTTTATGCTTTGGCGTACGCATATGTTTACACATCACGCCTTTTTTGTTTTAAAGGAAAGGTGTTACCTTACCGGTGGTCTTATACTAATTTGTTTTAAGTCCGATCATCGGATCATGATAATCTTAAATTTTTATATGAGAATTTAAGTCGGTTTTGTTTTTTGGTTAATACAAATAAGATACTGATAAAAATAAAATATTTCACACAAACAACAAAAAATATAATCGATAATCGCATGAGGCTATTGCCTGACAATTTTAAAATGCACTTAGTGGCATTCTGCTACTATGATAGCACGGCCCAGTAATCATAGTCAACTTATGTACAGTAGACTGCATCACTCCCCATCAAAAAAAAAAAAATTGGTACTGTTTTCGACTGGAATTATAAAATCTATTACATTTTAAGACTTCCACCAAAATACCTCGCAAAAATCTTAAGATTTACGTGAGCTGGACCAATTTGAAAATACCTCCACAAGTTGAGTTTTTTATTAATAAAAAGTTTTTTTAGATACTTTTTTTTTGAAATATACCTCATATTACTAAACAGTTTAAGCTTAAAAAGTTTGCATAAAAAAATTTAGGAAAATTTTTCTATGAAATCATAATAATGAGATTTTTGATGCTATTTTTGTTTTTTTTTCAAAGACTGGTTTAAGAAAAACTTGAATAACTCAGCCAAAACCTAACCAATTTCAACTTATGAGGTATCGTTGGTAAGGTATTTTCTCTCCCTTTTAAATCTCATTCAAAGTATGAAAGAGGGAGGTAAGATAAAAGTGTGACATTCCATGTTGAATTAAGATTTGTTGGTATTTGATTAAACAAAAAAAATTTGGGACGTGAATGAGTTTTTTTTTTTGCAAAGAAATAAAAAGGGTGCGAAAATTCCTCTCCACTGATACCTCAAAGTCTATATCGGTAGAGCAGTTATTCTAGTTTTTCTTACACAAATCTTTGAAAAAAGTTAAAAACAGCATCAAAAATCTCATAATTACGATTGCGTAGAATTTTTTTTTTTTAATATTTTTATGCAAACTTTTTAAGCTTAAACTGTTTAGTCATTTGGGGGGATTGTTTCCAGAAAATCCTGTACAAAACTTTTTTTATGCATAAAAAACTACATTTTTTGAGGTATTTTCGACCGGTCCAGCTCACGAAAATCTTAATATTTTTCCGCAATATTTGGATAGAAGTCTTAAAATATGCTAGGTTTTGTAATCCCGCCGGAAAAACCGCAACTTTTTTTGTGGCGATGCAGTCTAATGTACAGTAGTCGAAAAAATTATAGCTGCACCAAATTTTCACAAGTTTTAAAGTATTAATTTTCTTCTTATTTAATGTTGGTTAGTTTTTTATAGTTCATTCCTTAACAACATCCGTCTAAACACAAGTTTAAAGGCAGTGTCACACGATTGGGTATTTGCGAAAATTTGGTGCAAATCGTATTTTGTGAATACCCAAATGTTTTTCTTTATCCCAATCACGAAAATTAATTTGTTGAAATTTTTCAATAGAACATCGCTGTATTGTACCAATCCTTTGACTACAAAAAAAATATTTCCCATTTTTTTATTTTGTACCAATAGCCCAATATAAAAATGTAAATCGTACTAATGTACGTTTTCTGGAGTACCTACGAACAAAAGAAGAAAATATTTTTCGAAAAATTTGGTTGGGGTGGGTCGGGGCTAGATTTTATTTTTCATTCAGATAGGCAAAGGTTCAAACTTTATTACCACATTTTAAATTTAAGACGACGAAGCCCGACACATAAACAAAAACATTATTGTTTTAAACTTTTGTTAAAAATACTACGTTTTTAAAAGGAAATTTTCAACATAAGTCTAAATGCGGAACTTTGACGAGAAATTAACTGTAACATATTTTTATACAAAGTACATACCTTCAAAAGCGCCAAGAACAAAGACACGCATTACACACAAAGGCTAGGTTCCGACTGATTATGTGGTCAGACGCAGTAAAACACGCGGGTTTAGGGGCTGCATTGTCATTTTATTGTCATTGCATTGTGTCATTTTATGAATTATAGAAAAACGACTTTTAACCGGTTTTTTGCCTCAAATACCCCTTATGGGCTGTTTTTGCTTACGCGTAAAAGCACATTTAGCGCATTTAGCTCTAAATGCTACTCTAAATGTACATTTATCCATACAAAGTTCGTCACCTAAATGCAACTAAATGCAACTCCATTTTTGCATCAAGAATCTAAATGATAAAAGCAACCCAGTCATCTTCCAAAGTTTCCACGATTCGTACATGGTTCAATGAGAAAAAGTGGCAACATTGCTTTTTCGCGTATACAGTGGCTAGCAGCGTTTCAGTAATCGCCGATCGAGATTTCATTTATTATTTTACATTACTTATTATTTTACATTATGTGATGCTGAAATCTGGATCAATTTGTGATCAACCCTGTTTGTTTTTTTCCTATGTATGTAACTGAGGAAATTTTAATTGACAGCACCGACAAATGAATATATACACAAACAAATGTTCGGTTGTGGTTAAAACAATTAAAGTTTTTGTATTGAATTTTTGGTTTAAAATTTATTTTTTCCTTTTCAG